CATATTGAGTGCCCCTTTATCCAAAATATCTGGCCAGAGATCTTTCAAGTTTTGTATTCTTCATACTTTACAGTATGTGGTAGTTTGAATGTAATTGGCCCCCATAATCTCATAAAGAGTGGCACTATTAGGAGGTGTGGCTTTGTTAGGTGGGTGTGGCCTTGTTGGAGGAAGTGTGTCACTGTCGGGGAGGGAGTTGAGGTTTCCTATGCTCAGGATACCGGCCAGTGTCTCAGTCAACTTCCTGCTGCCTGCAAGATATAGGACTGTAGTGGGTAGCCATTCCAGCTTTGATCTGGAAATTCCAACCCCCATTGAGGCTTCGGCAACTGTCACGCCTACAAGGCGGGGCCAAGGGAGGCGCCCGGGGACCCGAGATCTGGATGGGCCAGCGTGCTCACTCTGTTCCTGGACCCTAGACGGACGGTGGAGGTTGACTGAGCAGAGCTCCAGAGAACACCGCTGGACTGTGATACACCTTCCCCAGACCCCACGACCTACCTTTCCCTTTTTTGTAAGTTACCCACTAAATAAATCTTCCTTTTAACTACATGGAGTGGCCATAATAATTTCACCAATATAGGACTCTCAGCTCCTCCTCCAGCACCACATCTGCCTGCATGCCACCATGCTCCCTGCCATGATGATAATGGACTGAACCTCTGGAACCAAAAGTGAGCCACCTCAACTAAATGTTTTCATTTAAAAGAGTTGTGGGTTCATGTTTCTCTTCACAGCGATAGAACCCTAAGACACAGTATTTGTGTAGAGTTTACTAGATGAGCACCCATATGCCAAAACCACAAATCTAAAATTTCAAAAACTTTTTGAGCATCATATTAGTGCTCTAAAACTTTAAGTTTGGGGTGTACATCAGATTAGGGATGTTCGATGTACACATGGGTTAGACACATGTTGTCTACTATAGCCTCCAGTGATGATGACTGGTTCTACATCTGCTCTACCACTGGGGTCATTTCTGGCTACCTGTGCCTATTAAACACTTGAAATATGGCCAGCAACACATCAAAGGAAAATACAGAACAACTTTAATTCACTAAAGTGTGTTCTTCAAACACAGCAATCAATCAATAGCAACCTCCAATTATTCAAAGTGTCTAGAGCACTGATCACTTAGTGTGAACTATTATTTTATTAGTATTGTCAGGTACATCTAATTTAGCTCACAATGGATCTAAATTCACATCTAAAGATGCTCCTAGACACACATGTGTGATTAACATTGGCTTATTTACATGTGCTAGAAGTTCCTCCATACAGAGGAGAAACATTTGCCTGTAGCTAAACAGGAACATAGATAAACAAGTGAGTCAGTGCTGAGATTTCCACAGCACTGAAAACTCTCAGTCAACAAGATTAAGCACTTTCCCATATCGTTCTACAATCTCTGAATAGTGATAGGACAGAGATATTTGCAGAGGAATAATAACTCTCCAAATAGCAAGTTTGTTTAATTCCGAGACATCAACATTAGTGGACTGGCATCTGTTTTGGGTATTTGGAATTAGTTTAGTTATGAAAATAATCCAAGAAATACACAGGGAACAACAGTGGCTGTGAATTACATCCACTTCCATCGTTAGACTTGCCTTGGTCTTTTCAAAGTTGGCTTCTTCGGTCATCTGCACAGCATGCTTTACCTGCTTATAGGCACTTGTCTCTCTCTGCTGCACTTCTGCCAAGCTGCTCCGCACAGAAACTAGCGCAGATATTAAGTCATCCCTTTCTCTGTCAGCACAAAAAGAACACCCCAAATGAGAAGTGACCATGTGATCGTGTACTCAGAAGTCAGAAGAAAAGCATTTGTGTGCATTAGAAGGACAGCTATGGAGGGCCTGCCCAGCATGTACTAAAGCACAACCCAGAGAATGGCCCTCTGTCCTCCCTCAGCGAGTGGCAGGCAGAGCGGCCTGAAAGACTGAGGCCTTCATGGCAGGACTGCATCTGCATGTGACAATGCCCTTCTGTGGAAAGGGCTGGCACACGCAGGGCCACAGCATAAAGCCTCAGCAAGAGCAAACGACTCAGGAAAAGGAAGTGGACGAACTGGGAAAAGCAGCCCATTCAGAAGACGGTGCTGCACATCAAAGGCAGCTTTGTGAACAAGGAGCGAGTGTGAAGACGTACAACATCTGAAGAGAAACTGGGGTCTCCCTCCTTAGCGGCGGGTGCAGAGGAGGCGCCAGGACATCTATGCTCCTTGCCCTTCCTTTTGCATCCTTCTCACGGGCTTCTTTTTCTTCCTTCTCTCCCAATTAAATTCTCTCAGCTGGTTATGAACAAAACCTGCAGTCTGTCCACTTGTTCTTTTTATTTCAGTGGGGAGTATTATGGGGCCCGCAAGCCCTCTGGTCACACATTTGACACTCAAGTTTAACAAAATCTTGGCCACCGGTTTTGATCCTAAGCAAGCTTCACTCACTCCTAAAGAAGTCTCCGATGTCACTAAGCTGATTATTGGGGGCAGCATTAAACAGAATACTAATTTTGAGACATGTAAAACAGTAAGGATCAATTTCACGGGTTAAATAAACACCAGATCAAATTCTCAGGATGCTTTGGAACTTATCACTATATAAAAAGCTCCAGTAGAGGGGGCTGGAGAGACAGCCGAGGTAAGAGAATTTGCTCTTCTTGAGGACCTGGGTCCAGCACCCTCATTAAGTGGCTCACAGGCAGCTGAAAGCTCAGTTCCTCAGGGTCTGATGCCTTCTTCTATCTGCCACAGACACCTGTGTGCATGTGGTGTACATGCGGACAAGCTGGCACACACATATATATATGCGAAATAAAAATAAAATGTAAACCATCACATATCCAGTGGCCAAAGAGAAAGATGAGGCGGTAAACTCTCTACACATACAAGGCTAAAGGCAAAGCATGCTACACTGTACATATGCCATCGTGTGTACATCGTCACGATGACCAGCTTTCCAATGCAGCACCAAAAGCACTGAAATAAACGTGCACTGTTTGCACTGCCAGACTCCAAACTGTCAGAGAAGAAACAACTGGGATTAAAAAGAAAACCAACCATGAAAGAGCTGTTTAGAGGATTCCAAACACTGAGTTTAAATACCCTTCCAAACTAACCAATGACTCCTTTTCACAAATCTCCTGAAGACAAGAATTTAAACTATTTGTGGTATTTGGAAAACAGCCATATTTTAAGAAACATGTAATGCTGAACACATTCATAAAAGCTCTTTTGTTAAAAAAAATTGTTACAAATAGCATAAATTCATGAATTATGATGAGCTTCCCTTTAGAGCTTCCTGATTTGTTTTAAATTGATGAAAATTACTCAATTTTTATTCTAAATGAAATAAAAAACAGTTAATTGTTCTGATTGAATATTATGAAGCACAATAATTATGTGGAAAAGTGGAAGACTCAAAAGCAGATTAAATTATTCTAAAGTAAAAGATAAATTGAATGCAAGCAAAATAGAATTTGTACTTATTTGAGTTGCAAAAAAAAAAAAGAGTCTAACATAAAAAGGCGACTAGCTTCATAGGATACACAATCCAAAAGGACTTAGGATTCTAGAAGAAAGTCATCCTTTAATGACCACAGTCAATCTGAGAATCATAGGGTCACCTCCCTTAAGTTCCTGAGAGTTTCTGAATAGTAAAAGTTATAACTTAGTGACATCTTTCATTCCCTGATTCTACAGTGTTGAAAAAATAGTTCCCCAGCTCCAAAGAGAATGGCAAGCATCTCAGTGTGTGGAAAAGAATTAGCAGATATCACAAGGCCAAGGTCTAACAGATCTGCTTCTCACGGAGACATCTTTAGTCCACTTAGTTCATTTTGGGGGCATCCCCTTATCAAGAGAAGTATTTGTCCTCTAGCAGATGCTCCACAACATAAAGGACAAAATGACAAATGTATAGAACCTGCACGGTGGCTCCCTGGGGCAAAACACTGTGGTCAAGGCTGACAAGCTGAGTTTGCCCAAGGACCTACATGGCGGAAGGAGAGAACCGACTCCTGAAAGATGTTCTCTGACCTTCCCATGGGTGCCATGGCATGCATGTGAGCAACATAAACATATGCACACACGCAATCAGTGTAAAATTAAAAACTTAAAATTTAAAAATTTTAGAATAGCTTAATCTGCTTTTGAGTCTACTATTTTTCCATATTTAAAAAAAAATAAACAGCTCAAGTGTATGAATATGGAAATCCCAGCAGGAAGACTTCCAAAGTCACACCAAAAGAAAGCCCCCTCTCAGTCATGTTGTGAGATTTAAATGGAAAAGGTCAATATTACTTAAAGAGCAAAGTAAAAGTTAGTTCTTCAAGTTCAAGATGTTTCGGAATGTAAATTCATCTCCTCTTAAGCCACGGAAAATCATTAAAGATGATTTCCAAACACAGATGTTTCATTAGATCATCTTTCAGGAGATGGTAACAGGAGTAACTGAACATCTGCACAGACTGGATTGACCCACTCCAGCTTCCTAGCACGACCCACGGGGAGGCAATGGACAGCCATCCAGGCAGCTCAGGATGCCACACTTATGCTGCGTCCCGCCTTTGGCTGTGTTCCAGCTCTGCCCCCCATTTACCCAACAGCGGATACTCAGGAAACAAAGAGCTCTGGGTGGCGGCCAGGCCTGTCGGTGGGAAGCCTTGCTTCCTCCCACCCCGACCTTCATCTGCCTGTCACTTTCTTAGCTGATCCCCTGTTTTTAACGCCACACTTGCCTCTTGCGTCTAATGAGGCTTCTGTTTTCTGTTCTTGAGAATTATGAGGCCCCCACGGCAGGCACCCGGTGGACTAGTGGGCAGTTGCACTCCTGCTCCTGAAGCTGTGTCCAGAGGGCAGATCTAGTGCTGGGCCTGAGGATGCTCTCACAGAGGGACAGACACGGGTGACATCACCTTCCAAGGCAAAGTTCTGCAAGCACTTAAAAACAGCACACGGTGGCTTCAGGGACTCTGCTAGGGCGTGTCCTGAGGAAAGGGGCTGGCCCCACAATGGTAAGCTCGTGCTATCCCACAGCCTGGTCTAACAGCTAGGGCAGAAAAACACAACTGGAAGTCCCGGCTGGCAAGGCCTGTGCGGGCCCTCACTAGTGACTGTAGTCCATTAGGCGCTTACTGCAACACTCAGCGCAGGGAAACCAGGAAAAGACCCGAACACCTTTAGCCATGGGCATAAGTACACAAAGGAGCGGGTTGCTTTAAGAGATACGTGTCAACTTTATCTTGAAATACGGAGTAACTAGGAAGTGTCATTGTCAGTTTTAAGCATTTTATAATAAGCATCGTTTTAATAAGTATTATTACCACTGTTTTTTAAGGGAAGTCCAGCAGCTGATGAAACATTTCTTTGTCCCCAGTTCTGAAAGCTCCCTGCGCCGTCTTGCAAAGCCAACTAGACAGCAGCCTGCCAAGGATCACAAAATGGACCAAAATCCCAGAACAGCACTATGGGAAACAGTTCTCCAAAAAAAAAGTAACCAGAATTTCTCTGATAATTCTAAAGTACCACCTTGATAACCTTTAAATTTTGATTATTAAGAAAAAGAAGGGAGGAAGTTAATATTACTTTGGCCTACTTTACAACACAAAGCAGACCAAGTGGAAGGCACTTCAGATCAATTTAAAAACACAACCAATATCAACAAATATTAAGTTACTCACTACAAATCCCTGTATAAATGCCCAATATAAAACACACAAATATCTGGGTGGTCTGGTCCCCATGTTAGGCCTCATCCCGTCCTTATCTATCACACAAGTCACCCCTGAATCACACATCCAAACAGTACTCGCTGGAGGTAGAATGCGTCAGCTGACAACCAGTTTCACAAGGCATATTGAAAAAAGGCTCCAGCAAACATTTAAGGTCCAAATTTTTGAATTCTGCCTAGAACCATGTAGCATGAACTGCCTTTAAATACCCAAAGCTAGAAGTCCAAACCTGAGACACGCTGGATGCTTTTTCAAAGTCAGCGTGACACTCGGTAGGCAACACTGTCCATTAATAAGTCAGAAAGGTCTAAATACCAGATCAGACAAGGGAGCCATACAACCCAAAACTCCTAAAAATAATCAAGGAGAGACTTTCACCCTACTCTGTCACCGAAACGGAACACAAAGCACACTGCTGACGAAACAGAGACAGGAACCAAGCAGGCTGGCACTTCCTTTCTGAGCCTGAGGTCAAACTGAAGATAGGGACAACAGCATTCATAACTGACAAGAACATGATGTCTAAATGAAAGCCAGATGCTCAATGAATGGAAACACTGTAGGCCTGTTCGACACTCTGTTCCCAGCCTAGAAGGCTAATGTAATAGAGGGTACACCCTCATTTTATTGGCTGGGTGATTTTACTAGACTAACTAGTTACTTCATTTGAAAATCACTTAATATAAAATACATTTATTTTTTTTATAATATTTCCCTGTAAAATTAGTTACCCAATAGGATTAAAGACTATTTGAAGCAAATCTTGAATTTTAATGGCCTTTTTATACTTTAACTATTGTTGAATATCTGGTGTCTACTCTTTCAAATTTTTTCCTATGATCCTAAAGAAAATATCTAATATTGAATTTGACCTAGAAAATCAAATGGCTTTGTGTTGGTGTTATCTTTAGTAGTTTTATTTACTTTGAGTTAGTCTCACATAGTTCACGTGTGTCCTCTACACTTCTTTATGTGTGTGAATGTGTATGTGCAAGTTTGTGTGAACTATGTGTGTGGGTGTGCATACAATTCTTACTTTTTCATATTTATTTACTCTGTGTGTGTGTGTGTGTTTTACACATGCGTGTGCCACAGCACACCTGTGGAGGTCAGAGGACAACCGGCAGGAGTTGGCTCTCTCCTTCCATGATGCGGGGCCAGAGACTGAACTGAGATGGTCAAGCTTGGCACCAAGCAGCTTTGCTGGCTGAGCCATCTCTCCAGCACCCCACCCCCGGTGATTCTTTTTTTTTTTTTTTTTTTTTTAATACTGTCCATAAATCATCACAGTCGACATAAACCACAGTTTAGTTATTCCCCAGGATACTCAGGCTCTCACACCATTACAAATAACGCTACAGAAGCATTCTCTATGCATGCTCTACTGTGAGCACATATGAGCATTTCTTCACAGGAAACCATAATGCATTATTTAAATATTAACGGGGAGAGCTCCATCGCCCTGCAAAGTGGCTATGCTCATTTCATAGTGCCACCAGCAGGGCATGAAAAACGTTTGCTTAACCTCGGCCTCACTGCAGTCACCGTGGATCACTAATCTTCACCAGTCGATGGATTGTTTTTTTCTTGACTGGAATTTCCTTAAGTACAAACTAAGCGAATATCTTTATGTCCTGACAGCTTCCTCTCCCACAGATTGCTTTCTTTACTCACAGAGCAGCTAGTCAGGGTGCCATTTCTTATTTCAAAACTGTGTGTACACTCTACTATTTGTTATACATGGCAAGTGTTTTCCCAGCCTTTTACTATAATTTCCAATATTTTATTTTAAGTAAATTAAATTAATCAATTGAAATTATTTTACAGTGCTGGGAACTAAACCTTGGGCATGCTGGATCAGTACCAAACCTCCCAGCTACATATCCAACCTTACGTTCTGTGAGACAGGATCTTCTATATAGTTCAGGCTGACTTACACCTCTCAGTTCCTCCGCTTTAGTCTACCAAACACTGTCATTATAGGTGTGGGCTACGATGTCCAGTGCCCACAAATTAATTTTTTAATGGATCAAGGGAATAATTGTTTTTCTGCTTATGACTTTCTCTTTGCATGCCATGCTGAGAATACAAGTTCAAGGATTTCAGTTTACTTCTAATACTTTCATGGCCTGAATTACATTTGACTCTTTATACATAATTCATTTTTGTAAAGTATTGCGGGATATTTAATCACATGTGACCTTCTGAGACTATTAAGAAGGTTAACCTTGAATCAGGGGTGGAGCCAGAGATCAACTGACTGGAATTAGCCTTAGAGAAACTAGGAATTTGGATAGAGAAGAACAGTGCCCACCCGAGGCAGATACTCTGACAGAACCTGGAGTGGAAGTATCAGTGCTGCTTTCGTGTGTACATGATGTATTCTAAAACTACTGAGGAAATGATGAAGTCAGTGGAGGACCAAGTGGGCGGGGTTTAGTGAGAGAATAACTCTGAAATAGATGCTGCTTGGGCTTTTGGATTGAGCAGAGAAGAGAGGGGACAAGAGTCGTCAGCATAGGAAAACACAGACTGCAAGCCAGCACTGGATGCTCTAATAAACAATCATTTTCAATTTCGACTGAATGAAATTTTACAGAAAAAAAAAAAGACTTCTTCCAAAGGAAACTAGAACATGAGATGCACGCAGAATACTGTAGTGTTTCAGCTGGGTCAGTAGTTGGAAAAATGTTCCTCCATAATCGCTCCCTCGTCAGCCTTCATCTGCTAAAACTGTGACAGCTGCATCCTTCCTGCACTAAATCAGAATATACCTTGCAATAGGCACACAGAGAAGATGTGCTGAGAGTCCATTCTGCCTAAACCACACTGGTAAACCCAAGATATGGTTGAAATCTAAGGAATTCCCATCCTACTCAGTCTTGTAAAGCATAGTGTTAAGGGTATCGTCAGTGAACTGGGTGACCTGTGAAGATTATCTATTTCAGTTCTCTTACTTCAAATGAGATTTGAACTAAGAGGTAAAATGATCTGTTCAGTGATAACGGTTACCCACAGCTGGTAGACCAGAGCCTAGCCATTCTTTCTTCAAGAAAGCCACAATAAAGGAACCATCTAAAATCTGGTTTATTTGGAGCTTAACCACATGTGACTTAGCATGGGATCAAAGGACACCATGCCCTTAGAGACATAATACCCTCCATTGGCAAAGACTCCAGACACGATGCATACTTACTTAGTCAGTGTCTCAATGGTCTGGATGTGCACGTTGCTATGGGTCTGGGAAAGAACAGCCTCATGCTGAGCACATTTCAAACAGAGGCCACCCACACGGCTGGATGCACTAGCAGCCAGAAGAGACTCTTTATGCTTCAGTCTTTCCTTGAGGTCCTCACAGTTTTTCTGATATTCAACTAAGTCTTTCCTAAAAGAAAGTGAAAAATTTCTAAGCAATGTCCAGGGGAAAGTACTTTCAAATGCAGCCTTAGAGAGAATTTTTACCGCCATGTGTTGTGTTGACATATAAATGGTACGTTACTAATTCTTATCACAATCTTGAAGCACAGAGTGACTGCTTTATTGTTCTACTACATATAAAATGCTATCAAGTAACACTAATTTTGATAACACTGGTACCTCGTCAAACATTAAAGTCTATCTTAAGAACCCCACCCTTTTGCTCTGTCTGTAAATGGATAACCTCACTTTACCTCAGAAGCATCAACTGAGACTCCAGAAGGTCACTCTTCGCCTCATATGTGAGTTTCAGCCTCTCCTGTGAAACAGGGCAGGAAAGCACATTTTGACCATGTCTTGGTTTCATGGGAAAATTTAAATTCTAAATATGAACTCGAGTTTTTCTTTCTTACCCACAGGAGGAACAATGCTGTAGGGACATTTTCAATAGTTCACTCTAACCATGCTGTTCTGATTATTAGATGAATGTCAATAAAAAACCACTGGCTCCCCAAATGGTATCTGCCTACAACTTTGATTTTCTTTCAAAACTGCACATAGCAGGTCTTATCCTTAAAAGTGTGACTCTGCAGAAAATTGATAGGTTCATGAGGGTAAAGCCCAAACCTCAACAGAACCCCCACTGTACACAAAGCACGTTTGGCATGCAATATATACATATACATACATACATACATACATACATACATACATATATATACATATAACGAATCGAGGAGGCTGAAAGCTTCATGCCTACCGCGATAAGCCAAATGGCCACCCTATCTGTCAGTCAGCTCTGTTATGCCATTTACCATTTAACAAGCACTTTTTTGGGGTCTACACAAAGCTGCCTCAAACCTCAGCAAGAGCTTACACTCTACAAAGAACAGAAAGGCACATGAATCTCTGTGAGGTAAACGGGAGGGAAAACAGAATCGAGCTAAAAGAAGTCCATCAGGCTTCCCAGAGCAGGTGTTAAGACTTGAAGGATGGTTTCCAAGATGTCGGAGGCTATGGAATCTAAAGACACCACACCATATCTTTGGGTATCCTGACCCTAGCCTCAGAAGGTAAAATGATAAGAGAAAGAGTGGCTGGAATTGGGAGAAACAGGAAAGCTTGGGACACAGGAAGAATATGAATGTTAAGAAATTTATTTATCCAACCCAAGTAGCTGAGGCACTGGACATACATGGAAAACTTTTTTCAGATTGAATTACATATACATCAGAATAAAGGGGAAAGAATGCTTATAAAGAAGTAACTGCAAATCTATAGTAAGATGTCAAACTGTGAGCAATAAGCACCAAAAAGCAAGTTTTTAATATAAAGAGGCATTTAAGAGGCAGGTTAGGCTAATTTTATAATTGGTTAAATATGAGATGGGAAAAGACTCTAAAACGAAATCCAAGGTTTCTGAATTGAGCAATAAAGTGAATGCTAGTGATAACTATTATTTCAGATCAATTACGGAGAGAAAAGGAACTCACAAAAGTAATTCAAACAATGACAAAAAGGGCAGTAAACAACAGTACAACAAAAGAACTCCAAAAGCAAGGTGGTCATGTTGAGTGCAAACCAACTGGATGGATATCCTGTTAATTAACAAGGGCACAGGTACCATATCATAAAACTAACATTGGAGTGGCTGAAAGCTAAAGTCCAACTATGTGCTTCTCAGGAAAACTCCCCTGAGGTACAAACATACAGTCAGATTAAAATAAAGGACAGGAAAGGAGAAATACCATCATGCTAATGCCAATTCTTAAAAAGCATGACTTAGTAAAATAGCAAAATCTGTAAGATTTTTATCATGTGAGGAGTTAGGAAATGAAATATGAAAATAAGTGTCATTTATGATTGCATCCAAACCAAGTTAGGACGAGTGCCAATGAAAGATATTTACATCCTTTACTCAGAGAAACTAAAAACAGTCAAGCATGGTAGGACGTTTCATATCCCCTGCACTCCAGAGGCACAGGCAGGGAGATCATGAGTTCTAGACCAACCTGGGAGAGAGCATGCCCCAGGGCATCCTGGGCTAAACTGCAAGACCCTGTTTCAAGAAATCCAAGGGCCAGGGATACAACTGAGCAACACAGTGCTTTGTCTAGCTGTGCATGGCCCATGCTTTGGTTCTTAGCACCTCAAAGGAAAAAAAAAAACTAATGAAAACTAAGGGTGACTTAAATAAATGGAATTGTATGTAGTTCACGATGATGGATGAAATAGTATTAGAAGGATATTAATTCCCAAATGACACATACTCCAAAGACAATCTAAATCAAACTCCACAATGTATGTGGAAGTGCAAAAGGCCAAAATAGTAAAGGTATTCTTTTGTACAAAGAATAATGACTTAGGAGATGTGGTCTACCAGATTCAGGCTGCCACAGCCAAGACAGCAAAGTATGAGCTCAATGAAACAGATATTGAAGCAGAGCCACTCTTGACCTGTGGAAAGGGTGTGTGATACAGGGAAGGCTTCACAAGAGTATACTCCCCTTACATGTGCAAGGTCTTGGGTTGAACCCTCAACACCACAAAAACAAAATGCAGAAAGGAAACCATGAAGGCAAAAGACGACCTTTTCAATAAATAGAATTCTGATATATTGATAAATGCATGAGCGAAAAACAAAATGTGATCTGTGTATTTCACATCACCTACCAAGATGAATTTTGGGCAGATTGTACATCTAAATGTAAAAGACACAGCTAGACTCTCTGGAAAACACTTTAGGAAAATATCCTCATGTCTGGGTAGGAAGGGGCTTTTTAAAGAAGATACAGAAGGTACTAAACAATGAACAAACAATGAAATCTCTGTAATAAAAGCAAGCAATTAGTTACCAGAAGGACTAAAAAGTAAACCACTTACTAAAAAGTGAGACTACAAACTTACTTTACTATACATAGTAAAGTGTGTGTGTGTGTGTGTGTGTGTGTGTGTGTGAAAAGCCTTATACCTGAATATACAAAGAACTCCCCCAAATCAACATATCAGATAAATGTAATAAAATAAGGAGCAGAAGCACTCCAAGGTAGGAGGTTTGCAACAAACTCAAGGACAGCCTGGGGTACATAGTGAGTGCGAGACCAGCCTGGGCTACATAGAGAGACTTTATATGAAACAAACAAAAACATAAAAAACAACTAAACAAAACTCTCAAGCAAATGCACACAAATTCATCAGACAAAACTGTCAGCAGCATGTAAAGAAGGGCGTGGGATGTCAGGATCACTCCTGTGTGGTTGACAGGGTGTAAACTGGTAAAGAACTGCTTGGAAGATGACCACGCTCAATCCACATTTCGTTCACATTGAACACTGACAGCCTAAGCCCAAGAGTCCCATCCTCAGGGACATACACATACAGATGTGTGAGGCGCACTCCCACAGGCATAATGAACGTCCTCTGCAGCAATACACCAGTATCCAGCGACACTAGACAAGTCAACTGTGGTAAATTCATCCAATGGCCCCTCAATGAAAACAGACAGGTGCTTCTACCACACGCAGTAACATGAATAGAAACACAATGGGGGGACACACATGTAATCTCAGCACTTGTGAAACAGAGGCAGGAAGGTTGAGTTCAAAGCTAGATTTTGTACCATGGTGAGCTCAGGGCCATCCTGGGCTATATGAGACCCTGTCTCTAAAGCCAAACTAAATTTAGAAGAAAAAGGGGAGGGCAGATAGGGAGAATGGGGGAAGAGAACAGATACAAAAGAATATACACCATTGTAAGATTCTATCTTATATACATTTTTTAATTGGCAAGATTCAAGTACAACATTCAGTAATGCGTTCTTGGCAAATGTTCATGAAAGTCAGGATGCTGATTAGTTATGGGAATGGAGAGACAGTAAATGGCAGGGAGCACAAAATCTGTAGAGCACAAGAGTGGGAAAAAACAATCTTGACCCAGAGGATAATTACACGAGTGTTCTTTCAGAGATAAAACACTGGGCCCTAAAACTTTGTTTTGAGTACCTTAATGAGTGTATCTTAAGTTGTGCCACTATTAGAAATGTTGAGGAAGAGCCTGTTGAACTGGTACGGGGTAAAGCTCTCTTGCAACCTTAGAAAAGCAGGCTGAATGCACTGTCAGGTGTCAAAATGAAAATGGACAGCAAGGAACGCAGATACAAATGCACTCAACTGTCTGGGAAAGTTTGGGAATAAAGGAGATAAAAATGTAGGGGCATGAACAAGATAAAAAGAAAAACAATCTTTGAGAAACCACAGACATCGGACTTCCTAAAGAAATGGCTTTAAGCAACTGCCTTGAATGTAACCAAAGAGCAACGAGAAGCATAGCCAAAGAACTAGAGAAAGCAGGGACGTTACAGAAAGGAGCGAAGAAGAACTCTAGAACAGAAAAATACAGTAACCAGCAAGACAAATCCACTGGAGGGTTCAGGAGTGAATATGAGCAGGCAGAGCAACCCTGGGTGAGCCGCAAGGTGACTGAAATGGTCAGCTGAGGAGCAAAGGGGAAAGATGAAGAGTGACCATATGATCCGACAAGTCCACTTCCAGGTCTAAACTCAAGAGGCTGGAAGGAGATGCAGAAAAACAACCCCCACTTACCAGCTCTAGCTTCCACTTTTCAGCATCGCCAGTGGATGTGGCTTTGCCGGTTTCAGCATCACCGTGAGAAAATGGTCTCTTTGCAGCTTCATCCACCCTAGAATCTTCTCCTGTCTTCATCCAAGAATCCTGAATGTTTCCCTAAAATAAAATGCACCATTAGTTGCAGCTGGCATTCAACATTAAATAAATATGCAGACTATAAATGGACTCATGATTCCCACCCATGAGGAAAATGCACATGCTGAAGTTCTAAGTCACACATCACTTTGCATGGTCGTGCTATTAGGGCTATGCTGGAAATGGGTATTACAGGGTCAAGTGCCCACATGTGCAGAGTAATCCAAATATCCACAGAGGAGCCGGGATGCCTATGCATTGACCATTCTCCTCAGAAGACAGACATTCTGGAAACTGATAGCTCAGTCTCAAGTATGTCTTTCATTTTCATATTCCATGGAGGCTAATGCAAGGCCTGAATGCCATTTTCAGTATCAAAAAAGAGAGAAAAATAGAGCACATGTGGCAGTAGACAGAGCCATGGACCACATGCCAGGGACTCCAAAAGGAGTGGTAGGGAACAGGACACATAGCTAAAATGTGTCACAAGCAACCAGAAATAGCCACTACTGTGTGGGAACAGAAATCCGCGTCACCATAAAATTGAAGGTAAGGCAGGTTATTGTTCTTTGTTTAAAACACTACTAAATTCTGGCTCACAGTTAGTCAACTTTGATGAACCTAAAACCAATTGATAATCTCTGCTTTCAACATTCAAGGAGATAAGCAACTTAAGGATCTGGGAAATGTACATGGGTGGTAAGGACTACCATACTTCTATTAATTTAGAGCAACCAATAGTCCCTGAGCCTTGGCTAAGTGCCAGAGGATGCAACAGCCATAAGGAAGGAGAGGCCCCCAAACACTGAGTTATATATGGCAGTGCCATAACGACTGGCAATGTTGTTGGCTGCATTCTAGAGCAGTGCCGATAATCTCCTCCACATTCTCTTGCAAGCTCAGTTTAATGCAAGCATGTATACAGCACCTACTGTGTTGTTCAGACGTGTGTGTAGCACTTTCTGTGGTCAAACGTGTGTACCACTTACTGTTTTCAGACATGTGTATAGAACCTATTGTGTGCATACAAGTGTATACCATGAATTATGTTAAAAAAAACAAAACTGTGCTAATAACTTGGAATACAAAAATAAAAATGGCGAAGCTTAGCTCCAAGGGGTTTACAGTCTAATGAAGGAAGACATACACCAAAGCAGATAATTAAGAGTAAAAAAGGGCTCCTTTCCTCCTGTGCAGCTTGGGCACCGTAGCTATCATGAATGACACGGTAACGATCCGGACCAGGAGGTTCATGACTAACCGTCTGCTTCGGAGGAAACAGATGGTTATTGATGTCCTTCACCCTGGGAAGGCAACAGTACCAAAGACTGAAATCCGGGAGAAGCTAGCCAAAATGTGCAAAAGCACACCAGATGTCATCTCTGTGTTCGGATTCAGGACCCACTTCGGTGGCAGCAAAACAGCTGGCTTGGGCATGATCTATGATTCTCTAGATTATGCTAAGAAGAAGGAGCCCAGACACAGACTGGCAAGACACGGCCTCTGTGAGAAGAAGAAGAAGACCTCCCGGAAACAGCGGAAGGAGCCCAAGAACAGAATGAAGAAGGTCAGGGGCACCGCCAAGGCCAATGTTGGTGCTGGCAAAAAGTGAGTGGAGATTAGATACAGCCAAAGGAGTAGATCTGCGGTGATTTGATCTGCGGTGGTGTGCAGACAATTTCAGAGAGAACAAATAAACTAAAAGCTTATATGCTTGGGGAAAAAAGAAGTTAAAAAGGTAAGTTCTGGGCTGAAGGTGTGCCTGGAGAACCTAGTAAGACTTCCATCTCCCACCCTCATACCTCACCCCAGCTTCTGCAGTAAGTTCCTTAGAAAGCCCCAGACCAAAAGTTTGATGGTTTGATGATGAGTTTTGTGTTTCTCTCTCTCTCTCCCTCTCTCTCTCTCTCCTACTCTCACCTCTCTCCCCTCATCCCATCCATGAACCTATAATAAACTTTTCTGTAAAACTGACCCTCTCTGATCTGTGTTACTCATTTCTCTAATTTGCTAGACCAGGACTTGAAAGCCATTGAGTTTTCCAGGATCGTAGCTCTTCAAGGCAAGAAAAGCTCAGTTGTTCACAAAGACCCTGCAATACTCCACATGAGGACTGAGCCAGAATAGCGGGAAGGGGGAGGGGGGGACAGACGGAGGCGGGGGGAGGGGGGGGAACAGGGACGCGGGTTGGGAGGTGTTGAGAGGATTCAGAGATTCAAATTAGTTTTCTGGAAAAGTCTTGGTCTTGGTGTGTCATTTAAATTGGAAAACCTTCCAGAAAGAGGCCGCCTCCCAAGAAAACTTGGAGTGGGAATGCATGGTAACCGCAAAGGTGTTCATGGAAAGTTCGCCGTCTCTATGACAGAGGTAAAGGAGAAGGTGGTGAGAGGAGGAAGCTGGACAGTCAGAGAGGTCCCAGGCTACAAGTCTGCAACCTATCATGTAAGCAGGGCCGGCTCTCGCAAGATCTGCTTGTATTCAGAGTTGCTCTAGAATCAAGGAAGGATCACGGTACTAATCTCCTCTAGAGAACTTGGCTAAAACACATAGACTACAGATGCTGACTCATGATATAAAATATTATTATTCTTGCCTTCTGCAGATAGCTTTAAAAAACTTGAATAGTATTTAACCAGTTTTTTAAATCCTTAAAATCACTGAAAACCTCTTATTTACTTATTGTCAGAAACATTAATAAAGAAAATGACTTAGAAATTTTCTACTTAAAAAAATCCTATCCTAGATCTTTAAGTGCCATATTGTAATATTATTATACTTTTTAAGTACAGAGAAAACTTTCCTGGAAGGGGGATTTCATGAGAATTTAAAAAATGATTTTAAAAGATGAATGATATATATTGTAAATAGTTTTACAGTTTTTTTAAAAATAATTTACTTTTATTTTACGTACATTGGGTTTTTGCCTGTATCTATGTCTATGTAAACATCTCAGATCCTCTGCAATTAGAGTTACAGATAGTTGTAAGCTACCATGTGGGTTCTGGGAATTGAACCTGGGTCCTCTGGAAGAGCAGCCAGTGCTCTTAACTGCTGAGCCATCTCTCCAGCCCTGCATAGTTTTAGTTATAAAATATCATCACCATTCTTCTATAATATCTAGGTCATCAACTAGGCCAAAAGTTCCAAGGCTTGTTGGCTAGCCTCCAAGTACAGAGATATAATGGAGAACAGAGACGATTTCTTCTCTGGGAGGAACCTCGCATCAATACGGTCTCATTCAGTATGAGCATCTCTCGCTACTTTATGCAGACAGGCAGCGTAATATGAGGCTAGGTAAATGAGTTCAGGATCCAGACAGTCCTGGGCTCTAGTCCTTGCTTTACCATTTTACATTTCTGTGACAGTACACCAGTTACTTAGGTTACTTAACTACTATGTATTTTAAGTTTCTCCTTGGAAAAATACAAATAATAACACCTGCCTTATATGGTTATTGTGAAACTGAACTAACACAAGATAAATAATAGGCTTGATACAGTGCCTGACAAACCCATGCAGTCACGACAAATGATAGTTATTACTACATCAATGTTACAGTTATTCAAAAAGAGGACATCACACAACACCAGGAAATCTAAGTTCAAATTAGCCAATAGCATTGCTGAGACTTGGTATGAACATTTGAGTCACTAAAAAAAGCCCACTCTTCCTTAGAAAAAAATATTCGTCACCTACTGACATTTAAGATCTCCTACAAAGTTGTATTCATCTCAACTGGAATACGGTATGCATCGGTGACACCTGTTTACCTACCCAAGGAAAAAGCAGGGGCAACTGTTCGTAAGAGTGGGCACCACAGAAGGCTACGTGGGTCAGCTGGCAAACCTACACGAGTCATTTCAATCTTTTCATCACTTTTCCTTTCATGTGAAGAGGGAGATCGACAACGCAACCTCTCTGGAACCTTGTTTATTCTAAGATTATGACCAGTCTTCTTTTGGCAAATACTCCTTGCTCAGACTGCAGATGTGTGTGCCCATCACTTCCCTCCCCAGGCATTGCTCACTTCTCCTGGCTTCTTAGTCACTTGTCTGCCTGATTTCCTCTCTCACTTCACTTCCTCTTCTCCCACTTCTTTGCCACTGTATAAATATTGAAGACCATGAATAATTGACTCACAGCTAAGTGATTATATAGTTATAAGAAAGCACAAGACTATTTTTTAAATGGGCTATTCCTAAGTACTTTTTATAGGTTGCTATCCTTTTCAATCTGACATTCAAATTATAGACACTAAGATGGAATTTTTAACCACCAATATTAACTATATAAAGCTTCAAAATAATTACATATCAACGGGTAAGTAACTTGTCACAGATGTAAATGGAAACACTAATCATCAGTCCACTGGTGAGTTTTCAAAGTTAACATAATCAGCTGCTGATCTCAACAGCAAATTCTTACACACACGACTCAAGGATCAGAAATGAAATGCTGGGTCAGACTGGATGAGCTATGATTAGCTGTGTCCCATGGTAAAACACTTCTAATACAAAAGTATCTATGATAAGTAATAATAAGATATTAAATTTAAACACAATTTAAATGTAATTCCAAGAGCTTTGTGTCAAAGAATTCTAAAGATAACTTCACCCACTCTTCTTCAAAGTTCAGCCACTGATACTAGAATCATGTAGGCAACTTGAAACTGATGCTCCTAGGACCCAACCAGACCAGGAAAATTAGACTCTGGGGGAACGGAACCCAACATCTCCTACTGTAGACCCTGATGTGGGTAAAGCTTCTCATATTAAACCATGCAAGGCTTATTAAACTACCTACTAAATACCATGAGAAACTCAAACTTATGGACCATAGAAGAACAATCTCGAATCTCAGGTTCACAGAACTTTGTTCTTTCACTACACAATGCTGCTCATCATACTAAGATCTTGGAGCTCAAGAAAAGCTTAAGAAGGTCAACAGAGCCAGGTTTCTAGTTTTAGCACAGTTCCTACTATATAACACGTTCCATGCTTGCAGGTCCCTCTCTCCATATGGAAAAGGCACAAGAGCACGCTCAGAGGAGAAACTGGAGGGACCTCCAGGCACCTGCTCTGGCACTTGCAGATCCACTCCACCACAGCTGATTCTAACTTTTGTGGCACCACGCAAATGCGAGCATGGCTCTCTCACCAAACTACAAAGAGATGGACCCAGTAATTCCGACCTGTGCAGAACAGCTATGGATGTAATCCAACACAAAATCAACCATAAGCTTTTGTTTTGTTTTGTTTCTTTTTCTTTGTAACTCAGCTTCACAGTTTTTGAGTATGAACTTTGTAGATGACAAAATTATATCAAAAGGTTGGACAACGTTGAAAAACAGGAATAAAGGGAAGGAAACGTTCAAACTAAAAGATTATGGTAATAAACACCACTCACAGATGCATCCAGGAGTGTTTGCTCCCTCAGTGTCTCCTCCTGCCTTTGAGATTTCAGTTCTTGCTGGAGCCTTTCATTCTCCAGCACAACCACTTGCACCCTATTTTTCATTCCAGATAATTCATCCTATAAAAGGCAGAAATCAAAATACGTTAAAGCATTTCCAACAATATTTATATTTATTAATTACTATGGAATCCAGCATGAAATAAACTATGGAAGACTTATCCAATCAGTTTCCTGACATACAACAATTTATTATGGCAAAAAAGGAAACCCAACATTAGGGTATATTATCAAGTATTTGGGTTACTTGATGGACAGTTGAAGGCCTGCTGATGACCATATCACAAATGTATTCTTTTTCTGGAAGTTTGTTTCTTCAAGAAATTGAGGCCAGAGAAAAGTCTTACTTAAAATGGTTATCTAAGAGATTTTTTTTTTTAAATGAGGCAGACTGCTGAAAAGTAAGTAAATGACTATCAGTCATTTGCCAATAATGTCTGAGGACTCAATGGAAGGAGAGACAAAGACATAAAAAAGTGCAGTGTCTATGAACCAGTGCCCAGAGGAACCACAAATGAAGCAGGCTGCTCTAAAGTTTGAGCATTCTTATCTTACATACGTCACTGTCCTAGCAGTGTGTAATATAAGGAATTAGGGAAGTCACAACTTGAATAGCTACTAAGTGGCACCTCACTTTCTGAAAACAAAGATCTCAAATATATGAATGCTTAACCTATATTCATTACTACTATCATCAAAAGCTATTATGCATAATATGCAGATCTCTTTCACCTTCTTTAGGGGGAAAAAGCAAACTTGAAATTAAATGTTATAATTTGAACAATAGTTTCAAAAGTCCAGTTTTCAGTCTGACATGTAATTGTGCTTGAAGGATATCAACTCAATCTCTCTAATAAAAAAGTTGAGCAATCTGAAAATCAATTCTTAAGTCAGAGAGAGAGAGCTGTTCCTCCAAATTGGAGAAAACATGCTTAGAATTGCAATACCTGAACAGAAACCCCGAAGAAACCTCTGCAGAAGCCAGTACTTATGAAGGAAAATCCAAATTATAATTGATTAATGGTTCAAAGCTCGGTGTGGATCAGTTTAAGATTTAAAAACTCTAGGGAGATCAAGGACCCCCTCAGAGTTTTAATTCTGTAACTACCAAGTTCTCAAAGCAAAGACTAGAAATAAACCCACATGCCAGGAAGGGGCAAAGCAGCATTTTTAAACTATGCCCAGGAGCCTGTGTTCTCTGTATCAAGGCCTGTCTCAGGTGAAAACACTTTCAAGGACATATAGACATTGGTTTTATTAAAGCCTAAAGAGAGTGGGATAATAAACACACAACCCTAGTCCCCTCTACTGCCCCCTCCAGGTCACTCACTCAGTGAAGCGTGAAAGGGACTCAAGGATTAGACAGCATCTTGCCCCCTCCCATGCTTTACCATGCCAACAGGGCTCCCATACCACAGTGGAGAAATTCAACCTACAGAACTTAAGAATTCGCTAGGGAAACTTGAAGACAGCCGAGGAGGCAATTCCAAGACCACAGAAGAAATTTTAGTCTGATGTTTATAGTAAAAGCAAACTGTAAAAACAGCCTAACTTCTAGTCATAAAAACAAGGCCTCCCAGTAAAGGCTTATTGTTTAGTTAGGCCTCTGCTGTGGGGGAAATATCAGAAGCAACTTGTGGGAGGAAAGGGTTTATTTAGCTTACACGTCCTGATTACATCCATCAATGAAGGAAGTCAGGGCAGGAACTCCAGGCAGGAACTTGGAAGCAGGAGCTACAGCAGAGCCACAGAGGACTCACTTACTGGCGTGCTCTCCATGATTCACTTGGTTTGCTTTCTTAAACAACCCAGGACCACCTGCTCAGGGATAGCACCACCCACAATGGGCTGGACCCTCCCACCCCAAACATTAATAAGAAAATGCCCCACAGACATATTCACAGGTCAATCTGATGAGGGCAACTCCTTACTAGGGTTCCCTCTTCCTAGAGGACTCTATTTGTGTGAGGTTGATAAAAGCTAACCAGCACAGCACTTAGTTACTATTACTTACTATCCCATGTACAGCACTCAACAGAGAAATAGCAAGGACTGCTGGGAGTTAAAGAATCAGAGATGGCATGATGGAAAGAACCACATAAGAACAGTCATTTTTCAGTGGATCGCACTAATCATGAAAACTAAGAATAGCAAACTTCAATATAAGGTATAATTGACATTGAAGTCCTAATGAGTAACTTACCTTGCAGAATTTAACTTCCGCTTCTAAATGATGAATGTACTGAGACTGGTCATTAATGATAGGAACGAGGTTGTGCACAGTAGGCATGCTATTGTCCTCACATTCTGGCCGCTGAGGGAGAAAGGACAAATTAAGCAGCCCCACATTTAGCAGAGAATCACCTGGTCATCCTCTCTACAATCAATTTAGTGCTGGTGTGACATAAGTAAAGACTGGATCACAGTGTACTAGATCACAGAATGCACAGACTATTTATGTCTTTATTCTATAAATTCCACAAGTATAAGGATATGAATATTATTTTTGAAAAATAGAGAGCAAACAGTTATTAAAAGCACATGACACATGGAGTTTCTTTTTCAGAGCAGGGCACTATAACCGGCTTGGAATGGCTACCTGCTTAGCTCCCTAACAATGTGACAGCCCATTCAGGAATGCTGAGACATAAGGGACAGTCAGTCCTCTTCCAAACACTGATGGAAGACGAGTGCCATCAGCAGCTGCACATCAGATCACCAAGTGAGAGCTTCAGACATGGACGTCAAACGCACGCCAGTGACGCAAATCTGCTTCAGAGGGGCGCACTGAAAAAGCGAGAGCTTGGGCTTTCACTTTGTTGTTGCTGTTGTTGTTGAGTGGATTTTTTAGGCTTGTGCAGTGTGTGCGAGGTGTGTGTGTGTGTGTGTGTGTGTGTGTGTGTGTGTGTGTGTGTGCGTGCGCGCGCGCCCCTAGTCTAGCACCAATTCAAAACTATACATTCTTGGGCACAGATCCTTTAAGGCTAAGCAGTAAAAGAGACACAAGCTGCCCTAAGGAGCCCACAAAGACATTTCAGAAAAAGTTCTACTGCTGTTGGTATTTTAAGGAAGAAGAAATCAGGAAAAGGGAAGTAAGAATCAGCAGTCAGCCTGACAGGAAGGCCTGCAAAGAGAACATTTCTGTTTCTCACTCACTTTCTATGGCTTTAACAGAGCATTATTCCTGACTGAAGTGTTTTCTGTCCTAAGAATAGGGCTGAGTATAAAAGAACAAACTCTGAACTAGGCCAAAATCATAATCTAGGCCTTAAGTCCACCTAGTGCATGTCACAGACTTGCTAAAAGGACACCATGCCTGAGTCCTGGAATTTTCGTAATCACAGGGAAGATGGTATATTTAGAACTCTTTAGAAAGCCATGAAGTTGGACATAAATATTAGGCACAGCAGCAGTGGCCACCTTACGATTCCAGTATCTGTGACAATGGAACGCAAAGCCTGCATGCTGCACTCTAGAAACATGTGGCTTGCCTTGACTCACATGAGGAGTGTCATAATGGCTCCCTCCAAAAGCACTGCATTCTTATCTACACATTTATGCTTAATTCTTACTTCATAGAAATACACTTCATTCACATATTCAATATTCATAGCTATTGATTACAATTTTAATAAGGTATTTTATCACTCAGTGCATTTACTACTGCTGGACTTTGGTTTCTAGAATGCTCTTAAAAGCACAAGGTGAATGGAGTGCTTTCAAATCAATTAGAGGAAGTTGCTAGAGCTGTTGCACGTTCAGATACACTCATTAGCTTTGAAGACGAAGCTGAGCACTAGCATTATGGAGCTTACTAAATCAGGGTGGGTAGAAAGGTATGCACCAGGAGAGTTTATTTACCATTGCTTTACAAATGCACAGGTCCCTTTACAGGAGCATATATAAAAGAGTGGTAAGCTGCACTGTGTATTTATATGTACTAACTATGAGGCACACTAATTAGAAGTCCCTTTCAGAGTGCACCATGAAATACCCTCTCATAGCCAGCACTATGAGCCAGTAGAGCAGGTCAGAAGAATGAGGCTCTCCTGAGAGTGAAACTCAGACATTGGTGTGATGGGAAGTAGATCTAGTATTTTCTTAAGTTCAATATATGGATATTCAAACTATAACAAACTCCTCAAAGAATATACAAAATCAAAGAAATGCTATATAATTTCTCACTAATTGTACCACTAAAAAAAAAGAGCATTCAAAAGAAGGGGTCTAACATTACAATTAGTAACCTACAGATGACTAAATATAGACATGAACTTCTAAAAAATATTATTAAAACATTATGCCTTTGCATTGACTGTCATTTTTATATATTCACTAACAGTTGCAAAAAACGTTTCTGAAACCATTCTCTTGACTACACTTTTGAATCTAAAAAATAAATAAAAAATGTCAAGATTCTCTCAGTTCAAACTATCAGAGGTGAAGGAAATAAAATTCCTATGACTATAATCTGGAATGTATGCAAAATGCTCAAAATGACACAGGAAAATAAAGCAAAGCTAGGAACCCCATGCTTTTGTCAGGCTTCAAAGGGTGACACTTACCACAGGGGACATCTTTCGTCTTTGCGGTGGAGACATCTCATTGTCCTTACTTGCTTGTTGGCGCAATAAAGCTTTGAGTTGATTGACTATAGAGCAAAAGCGATGAATTTATTGACCTTGCTAGAGACCCATGGGTTATGCATAGTTTAGGTTATAAATGTCCCCCAAAGACCATGCATCAAAGAAAATGCCCCTCACTTAACATTAATGGGAGATAAACACAATTAGAAGAGGTAGGACCTAGTGAAGAGGTAGGGATTTGATTATTAAATCAAATCATTAAATGTGGGAAGTCTTCAAGTTACTAGGGAAGTTGGGATCTGCCTCTTCTTTTTCCCTTCCTGGAATGAGGTAGGTACCTGGAGGAACTGCCCTACCACATGGCCAAAGATGGGCTAAAACATGTAAAAAATATATTAAGCAAAACAAACTGTTAAGGTATGTTGGCACACTCCTGTAATATCATCACTTGGGAGACACAGGCAGGGGGATGACCAGAAGTTCAAGCCCACCTGGTCTACACAGAGAGTTCCTGGCCATTCAGGCATTCATAGGAAGACCTTGTCTCATAAAGAAAAAGTATCTTCTGCTGTGGATACACTCTGTATGCTGTGAATGTGTTGCTCTGATTGGTTAATAAATAAAATGCTGATTGGCTAGTAGCCAGGCAGCAAGTATAGGTGGGACTAGCAGAGAAGAAAATTCTGGGAAAAGTCAGGACACAGAGGAAGCAAGATGTGAAGGCAGAACTGAGAAAAGGTACCAAGCCATGTGGCTAAACATAAACAAGAATTATGGGTTAATTTAAGTGTAAGAGCTAGTCAATAGTTTAGCCTGAGCTAATGGCCGAGCAGTTTTAATTAATATAAGCCTCTGTGTGTTTACTTGGGTCCAAGCAGCCGCAAGGCCACTGGAGCTGGGCAGAACCAGGAAAACTTCAGCTACAATATTCTTTATAAGTTTGTTTATCTAAGATGTTGTTATAGTGATGGAAAGTAGACTAACATTTTATTACCAAACATCAATCCAGCAAATATTGCTTAAACTATTAGGCAATAAGAACTTTGTATTGGCTAAGGACACAAAGAAAAGAATGAAAACTTAAAAAACTACTTTTTAAGTAGGAATTTAATAAGCAAAATAGAGCAGTAGATACAAGGTTTTAATGTAAACCTAGAGTGTGCACAAAGCTTCCTGGATAGGGATCACAGCATTATGCATTTGCTTTCACATAGGCACTAACAGCAGTAGTGAAGAGGACTTCAGCACGAGGGAAAGAATGGACAGGTGTCAGAAATTACAGTCATGAGGAACTGCAGTATAAAGGTATGGATGCATAGTCAGGGGGTGCTAAGAGATGGCTGCTTTCTAAGACAGATGGTTCAGATGAGGCCTGTGAAAAGGATGGTTAAAAGGACAGCATGGAAAAATCTGACTGGAGAAGTAGGTTAGGAAAATGTCGTTATTCCATCCCAAAGATTTTGGACTTAAGTCCGAAGGATTTGGGAAGTCAAAGGAAAAAAGGTAAGTGAAGGAATTGTCACACAGCAAAAGAAACTAAGCAGTAGAGTGGCCAACTGAACTCTGTGGAGCTGGGAGAATCCACCATGTGCTCAGAGTGACAGTCACACTCACCAGCATGGCTGTGCTGCAGCTCATGCCAGGCCACCCCGGTGTCCTCATTTTCTACATTGACGCTGGGGGAAGGATCCAGAGCATCTTCTTCCACATTGACATCAGCTTCTCTCAGGGCACATTTCAGTTGGTGAAGGCTTCTATTGGCACGTTCTGCAACAAAAGCCTGATGAAAGTCAGGGCCAATAAAATGGTGGCAATCACAGGTGGCATCCTCAAAATGAGTGTCAGTTTCAGGGGGACCTTATGAGAAAAAGTAGAATTCTAGCTCCAGCTAGCTAAGGACTATAACAGAGGAGGTAAGAGAAGATGAAGTTCACAGAAACTCAACTTGGGAATTGCTACAGTTACTGCTCACACCATTATGAACATTCTGTGAATATGACTGCCTAGTTAGGGTTTCTATTGCTGCAACAAAACACCACGACCAAAAAACAAGTTGGGGAGGAAAGGGTTTTTCTGGCTTACACTTCCAGATCATAGTCCATCACAGGAGGATAAGAACTCAAGCAGGGCTAGAACCTGGAGGCAGGAGCTGATATAGAGGCTACAGAGTTCTACTTAGTAGCTTGCTTCCCCCTGGCTTGCTCAGCCTGCTTTCTTATAGAACCCAGAACCACCAGCCCAAAGATGGTACCACCCACCATGGGCTGGGCTCTCCTCCACTGATCACTAATTGAGAAAATGCCCTACAGCCAGATCTCATGGAGGCATTTCCTCCGCTGAGGCTCCTTCCTCTCTGATGACTCTACCTTGTGTCAAGTCCACAGAAAACCAGCCAGTACAGTGATACAACCAGAAAGAAGGACTGAAGCTCCCTTTATGGTAAAAGAGTCACCAGCCTAAAGGTTTCTTCCTTTCCCTCAGTGCTTGAGACTTGCCTATCCCACCCAGAGACATGAGGTGAGTGGACAGAACCATTCTGGCCCAGGGAAGCCTCACTTTCTCTGAAGACCTAACATCCCTGCCTCACCAAAAGAATTCAAACTGCCTGACCTAGTTCTGATGACGAATTGGACAGCTGGGTGCTCACAGGAGCAACCACTACCGTACAGTCCTGGCTCACTACATCTCACCCACAGACACTAGGTTAGTATGTATGACCATCCCAAGTCGAAACTGAAACTAACCAGCGTATAAGTGACATAAGCTGTCTATGATGGAATACTTGAAGGTATACTGTTATGATAGCTCATCTCTAAAAATAGCCTCAGGGTCACACTGCACTTCCTCACAGGCCTCAATTTGCATTGACAGGCTACAGTGACAGTTACATCTCATCTTTAAGAAGGGTCAGCAAGGTTTGCTTTCTCTGCCTCAAACTGTTTATTTAACAGCTGGCCACACTACTGGAGAGAAATATAAAAAAGCTAGTGGTTGGGGACAGACCCTGAGACTATAAGAAGCTCCTCTACTCTACCTATCTTCCGCCTGAGTGCTCAGTGTAGCCTCCAAAAGATTCCAGAGACCATTTCATTGTAATGGTGTGAAAATGAAGCTAGGGAGAAAACTCAATTGGTAGAGTGCCTGCTCGAAAACATGAGGATCTGAGTTCAGATCCCCAGAACCTTTATAAAAAGCTGCATGTGGCAGAGCACACATGTAAGCCCATTGCTGATGTGGGAGAGAAGAGGTGGATCACTGGGGGTCATTGGTCAGCCAGTCTAGTTGAATCCATGAGTTTCCATCTAAGTCTCAAAAGATAAAGGTAGAGAGCAACTGAGGAAAGACATTCACGGTCATCCTCTCACCTCCATAAGCACACACACACACACACACACACACACACACACACACACACACACTTCTTAAAGGCTTAATTCATTATCAGGCATCCATGAAAACACATTTATAAACATACATTCTGCATTGTTTCCAATGTCATTAACTTCTAAGTTTAGAACCAAATATAATAACCTTATTACTTAACAGGAAAAAATACTCCATGTTACAAAATATGTACTACAATGTCTTTACTTAGAGCAACCCACCCTCTACATAGATAACACTAAAAAGAAGCAGCCTTTCCTGTCTGAGACGAATGGTGAAATCCTATTGTCTTCATGGTGAATTTATCACCACTGTTTTCTCCATAGCAACCCGATTTGCCCACAGACCTTCCTCTGAACACACACCCGGTGCTGACTGATAGCCAGGTCTGGTCTCTTCTTACTCACTCTGGGTTTCAGAAAGTCCACATTAGATACAGTCCTGGTTTTAGCAATACAAGGAGCAACAGCAGTTTTCTAAAACTCAGTATTTTCTGAAAAGATTTGTCAATAGAAAAGGAAAATCAAAGTGGTCCATGATATGCAATACAGTTTAGACATTTAGATTTATGCCCTTAAATCTATAACTAAAGCACCTGCCTTTAGAGCATCCATTAGAAAGGAAACAGAGGGTTTGACTAACGTTAAAGTATGTTCCACAGAGCTATCAAATGACTTCATTTCTAAGACAAAGAATATTTATTTATTTATTTATTTTATTAGGGCAGATACTCTAATTAAGATCTAAGAAGTTATATTAGGAAAAGGGGAAACCTTACATGAGGAAAAATACACAGTGGGAAGTCCCTATAGGTCGAGCTCTTTCAGGAGACCACAACAATGGCAGGTTCTGCTTTATATATTGATTTATTTTGTGGTCCTAGAGATTGGACACTGGGCCTAAGGGAATGCTGGGCAACATCCTCATACTGCACGTCAACTTGCAGTAACCCTTTAAATCTTGTTTCTAATATTCTTATTCAGTCTTTCAGAACCACACTAACATTACATGCTAAAATGTATCAAAAATATTACATGAAATTACAAGACACTGAGATCAACAATTCACCTCCCTCAAAAGGTGAATTTTGGTCTACTTGCTTTGTCTTTGCAACTACTCACTCAGTTGTAAGGTTCAGAGAAGAGATTTTTGCAAGAACTACATCCTAAAACCAAGATCAAGGAGGTAAATGACATTTTAAAATCATTTTATGTAACATTTCAAAGCACACTAAGTGTTTTCAATTCCCGACAGCAGCATGCTTGTGATATGACAAACTGACTTAATCCTGAGGGATAAATTCAGACAATTCCAGACAGATGAACCGCCATAACTCTTCAGCTGAAGCCACTGCAAGGGAACCTCCCATAATCCACCACTCAGCAGATGCAGCTCACTGCTCCTCACACTTAGGGAAACCAGATTAGACGGGAGGCTCCCGCTATCATTTCCTACCTGCTGCTCATGGCCACAGTTTTATCTAACCAAGAGCCAGAAAGACTCTCCACTTCCTCTGTTCTCAGAGGACAGCCGCCTATTTTTGAATACATTCTGATTTCTTCTCTCCAGCACTAACCGCAGGCTGTCGATAAACTTAATTATGAAGATAAATGCAAATAGAACCTCTGCATCCTACAGATCACATGAAAATAATTGAAGTGAACATTACTTCTGCAGTCCATTATCTGAACATCAATCCATACAATGAGCAGGTTCTTAAAGCCAAAGACTGACATTAAGGCGTGTCTCACTCATTTCTCAGTCCAATTTCTCTTCCTCCTAAGTTTTAACTCCTGGCTCACCATTGAGCTTCTTTTTATCAACGTTAACTTCTTAAAAGATAATTTAAACTTCAACAGTCATGTGCATGCATATGTTTTCCGATCATATTCAACATCCATTACTCTCCCTCACCCCTCCCACTCCCTCTAGACCCCTTCCTCCCCCAAAAGTCCTCTCCTATTTAAATGTGGTTTATTTTGTTGTTGTTTTAGGAACCCCTGGGTTTAATTAGGATTGCCTGCGTGAGCATGGGTGTGAAGCTACTTAGGAACATGGCAGCTTACCAGTTGCTACACCACTGAAGAAGAATGACCCCTCCCCCAGCCACAGGACCTGCCAACAGCTCCCAGCTAGGAGTGGCGTTGACATGCTTGTGAACAAAACACACAAGCACCACTCAGTGTAAGACCAGCAAGTACATTCATCTAATCAATTATTAATTTCTACATTTTCCATCTGCCTAGGTGATGGGAAAGAGAAATGTCCTGGTGTCAGGGGTGAGGACTCATCCTGTAAAGTGCCCAGCTGTCTCTAAAACACATGCAATTAACCATTTCCTCGCCTGAGATATGAGACGCCCTGCAGTTCCTGACCCAGGCTTAGGCTAGGCAGACAAGCAGAAAAATGAAACCACAGGAAGACAGGAAAAACGTGCCTGCTCATACTTGACTGGACCACAGCCCACTTTAGAGGACAGCTGTCACGGCTTACTAGAGAACCAACAGGTAGCGAAACCATGAGAGAAACAGCCTCCTCCAAAGTCAGACAAAGCCAAGTCTTGTAAGCAGCCAGCACAATAGTGAAAGCGAATAGAAGATACAGAAATAAAAGTCTCAACAAATCCCAACTCTAATGGCTGAAAACGTGCTGAAGCAGATGGCACCATAGGGAAAGAAAGTCTCAACAACAGTGTAATCTTTGTAAGGAAGCAGGGCCTGCAAGATTACCAGTGACAGATGTGGGGCAGCCACTCTGAGACTGCTATGTCCATCCTGTGGTATGCACCGGGCACCTCCTTGGCACCAGCAGGGTGGACTAATGCACCTGGGCCTTTCACCAATAGCGAATTTATTGTACCCGGGCTGGCAGAAGACTGGGGGTAGAATCACCAGACAATACAGTCTGCATTCATAATTGTAAGCACTCTTTCTTGAGTCTCTTGCAATGGCTGCAACATTGTTTCTGAACACAGTGCTATCAGTGTTTCAGACCTGATAACTTGGTCACAGGAATCATACTATGCATCTTCGCCACTGTCCCTGGCTTCTATTCATGGGATGCCAGCAACACTCCCCTCCACCCCCAGTCATGAAGATCAACAATGTCTGTAGACATTACTAAATGTTTGCTTGCCAGACAAATGGACCCTGGTTGAGATCAACGAAGCAAGATTGCTCCTGCTCAGCCTTGAGGAGCTAGTCCCACCGTCAGTGTCCCACCCACCACATCCACCACACTGTTATGCTGCAAAGGCAACAGCCTTTTGATGGAATGGGCAGCTCAGCACACTGCTCTTAGCACTAGTAGAGCAGGGTATAACCAGAGGCCACCACCATCAGTGTAGGAGTCTTTCATATTTCTATCGTAATAAAGAGGTCAAA